CGTAATAGCTATTCATAGGATTGTTGGAAAATTCAACTACAAGTCCTTTATCACCTTAACGAAAACAAGGTGAATACATCTCGTATAGATAGTTTTTTATTTCAAAAGTTACACTTTCTCTAGTAAACTATTATATAAAATAAATTGTATAATGAAAAAAATATTTGTAGTAAAAATAAAAAATAAAAATTTATTATATTTACTGTATTATATAGTTAATGTATTATACATAATAAGGTACGGAATATTGTGTTAAAAGTATATAATATTGAATATGCAATTATTTATTGTAAAATTATCATTTTAATGACAACAATAAAAATGAACAATTTGTGTGCCAACCCACAAACGTTGTGGTTCAACATTGAACCTAATCAAAACAAGCAGTACCACAACATTTGTGGGTTAGCACACAAGAAACTAGGGCATAGGAAGTCATAGACTTCGTAATAGGGATCTAAACAGGATAGACTCGGAAAGACTGGATCTCGTTGGCCAGAGACGTGGTACATGTAGCAAAGGGGTGACCATGACACTCAGAGGCTTCCGCCTCGAATTAGTGACCCAGACGCAGGGGAGGGCGAATAACGCCCCGAGTGGCACAAATGGGGTGGCAGGGGTCGAGTGAAATATGTGAACCAGGGAGAGAGCATACGGATCTTACGGGCAAGAGAGAGAGCGTGATAAGACCTAGGGAAGGATGACCGCGTGACAATATGGCAGACGGTAAAAAATGTAACAATGAAGGTGTGATAGGAGGATATAGGAAATGTGAATAGGCCAGGGCAGAGGGGGAGATACCACAACTGTTTAGCACACGTTTGGTCAAACAATCGGCATCACTTGTCGCTTTGACGACATGACATGACTCACTGACAATGCCGGCGAAACGTCTGGGAAGTACCACGTCCAAGATTCGACTTTGGCAATGATCATGCATACAATGGACTCCGGACTAGATGTGTTTCTCCAATTCTTCCTACCAATATGACCAAGTTGTGAAAGTAAGGTCAAACAACTTCTATACAACAAAAGGAGACTGTGACCACACAAAAGGCCACACCATCTTGGTCTTCATACCTTCGAATAATATTTACTTATAATTAATTTTTGGCATGACAGCTACTCATAAGTAGTCTACTTCGTCTTCCGAGAGCACTTTATCATAATTATGATAAACTAGGTTACAATTTATCAATAAAAATTCTATGCAGATAAACATTATGAGCGAATATAATAAAGTGCAGTATAAAGTGGCACACAGATGCGTGTGATAAAAGACTATGGTGCACTCTGAGCATACACGGAGATACATTTGCGGGACTCGTTTTTCTCTCTCCACCGAATGAGAAGTGTCGCTGCAGCAGACTGGACAGCACAGCGATTGTCCCAGCGACGGCCTGTTGCGCGAACACTCCCGAATTGCCAGTTGCCGGTGTCGACAGTTTGCTGGTACCTTTTCTTCCTCGTTCTCGCCCGCAAATATCGGCCTCGCGGCCATTGGCACTTTGACCCTCCAAATGGGTGCAGGCATGATGGACAGCTTGTCGGAGGAGTCGAAGAGTGAACGAGTCGAGAAGAGCCAGTCTGACGGTTTGGCAAAAAGTGAACCAATTAACCAGCCCGCAAGATGCAATGCAAAAGAAACGCTTTAAAATGTGACCTTTGCAATTATAAACATCCGCCAAAGCAGAAATCTGAGGCTCCGAGAGCTAAAAGAATGGTTGGAAAACTTGCTAAGAGTCATCTTAGAGCTTAATTGTGGAACAGAGGCGTGGAGGATTCGAAGGCTGGCAGGTTCATTTATTTCTCAAAAATGTATCATCAAAATGCAAACGTACAAGTCTGAAAAGTCTCAACAGCAAGACGAATGCTGAGAGCAGTAAAGAAATGGAAATCACGACTCTCAGTTGGCGTCCGCTAGTCATTTGGTTGGTGAAAAAATGATGGTTGAACATTTTACATTGAAATCGTTCCACCTAAAATGTGTTTTTCCAACTCAACCGGACCCAGATTTTTACCTCACACCTCAGCAGAGGTGCTGTCAGACCTGGTTGAGAAGGTGTCAAGGAAAAAAACGTTAAGTTGCCAGTCCAACATCTTCTTAAATGTCTAAATGTGATTCGAGCTTTGAGTTAACATCTACCAATAGAGTCTAACTAACTTACATTAAGTGTAATTACTTGATTAACTTTTGGAGGATTACAACAAAGTCTA